CTGCACAGCATTTTTTTTTTTGCTTTTTTAAAGGTTTTTTTTTCTCTTTTTTTTTTTTTTTTTTTTACAGGGACCTTCCCTGGTCCTTGCCCGGCCGGGCGGCCCATGAAAAATATTTGTGCCACACTGAATGCATATCTCAGTCAAAAAAGTTGGTGTGATGAGGTAAGAGTGACGTTTCAGGCCGCGGGCTGGGTGAGGGCGTTGGCTCTCATAATACAAATAGGGTCGGCTGAACTGGCAGTTCAAACCGGAACCTCGATCGGGCGCCCGGGCTACCCATGTACCCGAAGATGTAAGTAACCCAGCAATTATGGGAGGGTGTGTGACAGAACAATATTCACCACTCTTTTTTTTTTTAATTTCCAAGGAAAGCTGCCGTTTTATTATATGAACAAACAATTTAAAAATATAATAAAATTATATGAACGAACAACGAGGCCGGGAAATCCTCAACAGCATGTTGACCCCGGATAGTGCTGGTCCCCTGCTGGGGCCATTACCCGAGCGGGTTTGGCTTGAGCGGGAAGTCGAGTCGAGCGTCCCAAAACCTGCACACAGCTTCAACAAAAAAATAAACTGGACAAATAAAGCACAAACAGAAAGGTAGAAACAAATTGAACAAAAGGAGAAAATTATGCGACTGTCGCCCCTGAAAGTGTAACCGGACCACTTTCTGTCCAGTGCAGCTGGATTTTTATTATTATTATTTTTCCTAGGCTACCAGAGTGGCCCGGGACCACTTGCCCGGCCGGGCCAAAAAGGATTAAAATAAATAAAAATAAAATTTTATTTTTCAATTTTTATTTTTATTTTTAAATTGGTAAGGAATTTCGATATGACCCTGAGGCAAAAGTTGTTCTGTTTATTTTTCTGCATAACATAGTTTTTTTTTCGGATTTTTTGGGATTGTTTTTTTTTTTTTTTTTTTGCTGGGACCGTCCGCACGGGCAACACAAGGTGACCCGGGCGGCCCGGCTGGTAGCCTAGTTTTTTTCCATAAAAAAAAACAAAGCTATATATTCTTCTCTCTAAAAAAAAAAAAAAAAAAAAAAAGCTATATTCTTCTCTCAATTGCACCTTTCACTATCTACCTACTCCGACTCCTAAGGCTATACAGGGGACCCCAGGGGGGATGCATGTTGTCTGCCCCCCTAATCGGCGGTGTTCAGGGAGTAGGGTGGGGCCATCGTTGGGGGTTGTTGGGGGTGGGGAGGGGAGGGGGAGACCAGTTAACACAAAGACCGAGCATTTTTCCAGTAGTAGCTGCGTCTCCCCTCTACTTTCCACACCCCCCATCGAGTAGCAGCAGCAGTGGCAATGGCCAACACTCTCCCACACACCACACACAACCCACTCACGCTCACACCCGTTGTTGGTGATAGACCCTACCAGCACTAATCAGGGGTATCAAGCGGACTATCGCAATCGGTTGGCACTAAGCATGCCCAGGCGGTCAGTGGGGCTCGAACCCACAACCTCCTGAATGCCACTTGCATGCCTAGCCAACTGAGCTACGGTCTTCACCCGAATAGAACGCCCGGTCATTATCGCTGCATCTTGACTGAAATATGCCCCAAATACAGCTATAATGACCGGGCGTTATATTCGGGCGAAGACGGTAGGCCGCCGGTGGATGAGCTGGAGGTTTTCATTGGTTGTCGCAGCGTGTGCGACAGCGATTTTAGGGCTAACAGAACGATTTCCGGCACTTTTCTGTCTGCGGCAGCCGGATGTTTTTGTCGATTGTGGGAGGGTGTGTGACAGGCATTCTAGGGCTGACAGGGATTGGCGGGATCCTGTGCTACTTCATCACAATGGCAATTGCTACGCTTGCTCTGTTCGTGAAGACAGGCTTCTCTGTGGACGCATACTTTGTTTCTTGGTATGCGTTGGGATTGGACGGCATATTTTCGGGTGTGATGGTAAGATGAACGTTGGACGATCAACGTGCACGGCTTCTCCCTTTCCCTTTCCCTCTCCCTCTCCCTTTCCCTCTCCCTTTCCCTTTCCCTTTCACTACATCAGGTGTACGCACACCAGGACTTGTTTTTCTTTTTTTTTCTTATGCCGTATTTCCTTCTATGCCCGTCAAGGACCACAAAATTTGGGGTTGAATATCCATCGTGTCCATTGTTGGACCTTCCATGCGTCAATCCGCTGTTGGGCCGAATGGCGCATGGTGCAGAGTTGTGCAGCAGTCTGACAGCGGAGGGGCGACAGAGATTGCACACTTGAAGGGTCCAAGGAATTTTGCATCTTTAAAAGGAAGGGGGGGGGGGGGGGGGAGGGAGGGCATAAATGAAAATGAGAAAGTTGCCTTTGTGAAATTGACTATGTATGTGACAATTCTCGTCCGTATGTGGAATGCTTTCGATCTTATCATGGACGCCTGTGCAAATTCAAGCTGTTTGTGTATTGTCTCACAGCTAACTACAGAGAGAGAGAGAGAGAGAGAGAGAGAGAGAGAGAGAGAGAGAGAGAGAGAGAGAGAGAGAGA